TTCACTTCCTGTTGAAGTTTTCAAGGAGAGCTGAATCTCGAACCATCGCCACGGTTGGATCTGCAATTTGTGCGGCAGAGAGACTGTCACTGGAAGAGTCGTCCAGTTGGGATTCAAGCTCTTGGGACAAGAGTGGATGTTCAGGTGAAGGTTGCGGAGAGACCTTTTAGCAGGAGTGGCTGATGTTTTAGATGAGCCAGCCATGGGTTTGGTTGATTTGGCCGGAGTAGCAGTGAAATATTTCCCCATGGTCCCAGAGGGAGCCAGGGGTACCTGGTAGAGGAACCACCCAGAGGCAGTTGTGGTTGTTAAGAAGAACAGCTCCGAGGGGTGTCAAGGTTTGCAATACAGAGCTGGAGGTGGCGAAATCATATATTAGGAAAATTACTGAAGATGCAACTAGCTCTGGGGTCCGGCAGAGCGGAATCAGGACCTTGGACTTACAGGGTGCACAAGGAGCCGTGAAGTCCCGGTGGGTCAGGTGGCAGAGTTATCTTGTGGTTTACAAAGTGTTTCACCCTCCAGGGCTCGTAGGAAACAAGTGGCAGGCAGGAACCAGTGTGAAAGGGTAGGCAGGGGCAGGCTCAGGTTTCCTTTCCTCACACAGACACAGCACGTGATGAAAGGACTGCCAATAACCGGCAAGTTATTTACATATGATCAGCTGTGATTGGACACAGATGATTACATGGTAAAGCACGACTGCGATTGGCCCTTTACCCTGATTTGTGATCAGCGGTCACAGAGCGTGCCTGATGCGTGCCCTGGGGGCGCACAGGGGGCAGGGTCCTGGGAGGACATCAATGAACGCCCTTCTAGAACTAGACGACAGTGCTGTAGTTGTCTTTTGGCTATAGTACTGATGTATGAACACCACATCTTCAGATAGTTCCTACACAAAATAACATGCATATGGTCGATATATTGCATGTGTACATATTATTCTAGCTCTAATATAATCTACTCTTCAGGGAGAGGTGTGATTTATACACATAAAATGTGTGCACAATTATTAGGCAAGCGAGTATTTTGACCAAATCATCATTTTTATGGATATTGTACAACTCCATGCTTATTGGATTTAAGCAGATCAGGTGATGTGTATTTGTGTAATGAGTGTGGGTTTGGCCTAAGGTGATCAACACCCTACATTAAGGTGTGCATAATTATTAGACAGCTTCTTTTCCTCAGGCAAAATGGGCCAAAAAAGAGATTTTACTGACTCTGAAAAGTAAAAAATTGTAAATTGTAAAAAGTCTTTCAGAGGGATGCACCACTCTTGAAACTGCAAAGATATTGGGGCATGATCACAGAATTATCAAACATTTGGTTGCAAAAAGGCAACAGGGCTGCAAGAAACTTGTTGAAAGAAAAAGACACAAATGAACTGCTAAAGATTTGAGAAGAATCAAACTTGAAGTTACTAGGAACCCTCTATCTTCTAGTGCTGTCATATTCCAGAACTGTAGCCTACCTGGAGTGCCCAGAAGTACAAAGTGTTCAGTGCTCAGAGACATGGCCAAGGTAAGCAAGACTGAAAGCCGACCACCACTGAACAAGACACATATGTTGAAACGTCAAGACTGGGCCAAAAAATACCTGAAGACAGATTTTTCAAGAATTTTATGGACTGATAAGATGAGAGTGACTCTTGATGGACCAGATGGATGGAGCCATGGCTGGATCCGTAATGGGCACAGAGCTCCATTTCGACTCAGATGCCTGCAAGGTGGAGGTGGGGTGCTGGTATAGGCCGGTATTATTAAAGATGAGCTAGTTGGACTTTTTTGGGTTGCAGATGGACTCAAAATCAACTCCCAAACCTACTGCCAGTTTTTAGAAGACACTTTCTTCAAGCAGTGGTACAGGAAAAAGTCTACATCTTTCAAGAAGATCATGATATTTATGCAGGACAATTCTCCATCGCATGCATGGAAGTACTCCACTGTGTGGTTAGCCAGTAAAGGCCTTAAAGATTAAAGAATAATGACATGCCCCCTTCCTCACCTGACCTAAACCCTATTGAGAACTTGTGGGCCCTTCTTAAATGGGAGATTTACAGTGAAGGAAAACCGTAAACCTCTCTGAACAGTGTCTGGGTGGCTGTGGTTGCTGCTGCACAAAAACCAAGCCAACAGATCAAGAAACTGACAGACTCCATGAATGGAAGGCTTATGACTGTTACTGAAAAGAAGGGTGACTATATTGGTCACTGACTTTTTCTTTTAAATTCCAGAAGTGTTTATTTGTAAATTTTAAGGTATTTGTTTATTATTCTTACTTTAACAGAAGTAAACAAGTGACATGGGAACATTTGTGTTTTTCATTTTTCGTTACCTAATAAATCTGTGCAATCCAATAATTGTGCACACATAGATATTCTAAGAAAGCCAAAACCTTAATTTTATTTTCTTAAATATGGTTTATTTAACATTTTGGATTGACCGAGGGCACTGGAGTTGTTCAGTAATGAAATTAATCCTCAAAAATACAACTTGCCTAATAATTGTGCACACAGTGTTTGTGCATAGTTGTGTGTAAAATACTGACCAGTAATGCAGATATTTTTTTTTTTTTACTGATCTAAATGCAGTGCTAGTTTACTGCTATTTACATGTGGGTGCATACAGGCCCATTGAAAGCGATTTTGCAAAAGCCTGAATTTACCATGAGCTGAAGGTGTAATTACTTAGGCCTCAGGCACATGGATGTTCTTAGACCTCATTTGCACAGATGTACTATAGCATATGCCTGCATGGGAATGCACAGAACATCTGTGCAGGCAGTCCCATTCATGTCAATTGGAATGCAAACGGCTACATGGATACGACCACTGCTCCCAATCTGACAGTCATGCGAGTACGGGTACACGGCCCCTCATGCACAATATCTGTGCTGGAACGCACGTGGGGCGTAATGACGTCACCAGACATTACGCGACATGTGTTTCTGAGCATGTGCGCTGCGATGGCCTGTCAGGCACGCTCCTTTGTTAAGCTGTCAAACTTTTCCACTCCTTCCTGATCCTCCTCCACACCAAACCGGCTTTTGGAGTGAGACGAGCAGCTTATTGCACAGCAGAGGACATGGCCAGCGTTCGGGACTCCCTTTACATCACCAGAGACCATTTACTATGTGCATGTCTTTCTTTTCAAACATGTGAGTTGCTAATTTGCACCTCTACTGGAATAAAATTTGTACACAGTCTACACTTTATACTCTACACTTCTACTCCAAGCACAGGCTTGCCCTAAAGTTGCAGATACCCCCTATGCTCCGGTGACCTCTCCCTACCTCCAGATGGGCTTTATCTTTATATGGACTTTTTGGTTTAAAGGATAAGTTCGCCTTTTTTTCAAAAGTAATAAATGTATATTTTTTTGCAGTTAAAAAATATGCATTTATTATTTTGTCTACAGAAGCCTGGAAAGCATTGCACCAGCGATCAGTAGATCGCAGATGCCATGCAGGCCTCCTGCACACCTGTCGGAATATCTTCTGAGATGTACGAGCAAGCAGATATTCCGACCGGAATGAACTACCACAGAGCTCCACAGCACCATGGTAGTTCATTGAAAACTAGAAGCCCACAGCTGCTAAAGCTGCCGGGACTTGTAGGCACTCATTCACAGAATTCTGTGAATGAGTGACGCAGCCACGTGGGCGGAGCTCCGCACGGCCATGCTGTTTTCAAATCGGCGAAACTTCTCCCCATATTATCTGTCAGAGGGAGGGGGCAGCAGGTGCGGCTGCAACTATGGGAACATGTTACATGTTCCACCCATTTATAGGGTAGAAAATGTAATATGTTCCCAAAGGTGAACTTATCCTTTAACAACCAGTGAATACCAGAGGCATCACCCATTGGTGTCCTTACCAACCAGCTATTCACTGGTTGTTAAGGACGCTGGAGGGCACCGGCTCCTTAAAGCGGAGCTCCACCCAAAAGGGGAAGTTCTGCTTTAAGCCTTTGTCCCCTGCTCCCCATTAAGGATTGGCACCTTTTGGGGAGTGGGGGGGAGCGGGTACCCGAATTTGGCAGGTACCCGCTACCATTGTCTAAGGCGATCGGAAGCAGAAGTTGTCCTCCCACCCTCCCTCCCGTAGTCTTCTGGGACACGTGACAGGTCCCAAAAGACTATGGGGCCATTCACAAAGTGCATGCGCAGTGGGCACCCTGCTGTGAAGCCGCAAGCTGTCACAGCCGGGTGGCCACACTAAAGATGCCGGCGCCAGAGAGAAAAGAGGGCCGGGCAAACCAGCCGTGGTGAGGACACCGCTGGACCGAGGGACAGGTAAGTGGCTTTATTTTAAAAGCCAGCAGCTACAGCTTTTGTAGCTGCTGCGTTTTTTTTTTTTTTTTTTTTTTTTTTTTCCAGGTGGTTAATTATCAACATTTTTTTTTGTTTGTTTTATGCGCCCCCCCCCACCAAAATGCTCCACAAAACGCCCCCTTTTTGCTGTCTCCAGCCATTCACTTCGAGGGGCAGCTGTACACACCATCTGTGTTGACCCAGGCATTGGAAAAAGTTGGGCTTTTTTTTTTTTTTTTTTTTTTTTTTTTTAAACTAATTCTATTTTGTGTATAAATCATCTCAGGGTTCCCCGAGAGGAGCCCGAAAATGATTTCCTGGGTTCTAAGGCTCCATGTACACAGGACACTTCTGAACGATAGAAACTGACTGCTGGAAAATGTAGGTTAAAAAAACGTCTGTTTAGCCGCGTTTGCATACCGCGTTTATGAGCGTTTCCGTTTAGAAATGTTTTTTAAAGATAACCTCAGGAGACCTTCCCACATGTTCCGAATGCACCAAAAAAACAGTAAAAAAAATTAACTATTTCAGACATTTTGAGAGAAATGGAGAGAACAGAAACAGAGAAAGCAGTATGTGTTGAGATTAGCTGTCTTTTTTTTTTTTTTTTTTTTTTTTTTTTTTTTTTTTTTTGTGGTGTTTGGATGTGTTCCAGCTCATTTTTGTGCAGAAATTATTGCAGCAGTGTCTAACATATTTTCTTTCATGTGAAACCTCAAAGTTTGGTGTACCAGGTCTATTTGAGTACCGGGAAAATGCTTTGCATGCATTTTTCATTATGTAGAAAGGCTCTGGACAGCATCTGGAAATGGAAGAGTTAAAAACATTTTCCAAACGCTTATAAACGCAGTTAGCCGTGTTTACAACACTGATAAAATCTACTTTTGAAAGTTTGGTGCGTTCAAAAAAACGACTGTAAACTCAACTGACTCGCTAGCCCTAGACTCGCTAGCACCCCAAACAACACGAAGTATTAGAACCCGGCCATACCAGAAATCTCAAACGACGCAGTCGTGCGCTGGGGCGACTATGGTGCAAATCCAGATCCCAACTAATGTTCACCCGGTATAAATCTGCCTTCCTAACCTACACTTCCTCCCTTCACGCTGCCAAGCAAGCCTACTTTATTACCCTCATTAATACCTTTTCTTCCAGTCCTCGCCGGCTCTTCTCTACTTTTAACTTTCTCCTTTCTCTGCCCCCACCCAGTACTTCACTCACCGCCCACGAGATCGCTAACCACTTAAAAAACAAGATTGACGCAATTTGTAGGGACATCGCCACTACTCAGACTTCCTCCCCACCTAGCATCCCTCACACTAAACCCCCTCCAACCTCGCCACTGCCCAGTCTCCCGCTCCATCTAGCAGTCCTCACACTAAAACCCCCTCAACACTCCACTCCTTCGACCTCGCCACCACTGAAGAGGTCAATAAGGTCTTCCCGGAAGCCCGCCTCACCACCTGCCCCCTTGACCCTGTCCCCTCACAACTCCTACGATTACCCTCTACCGCCATCCTACGCTCCCTCACTCACATCTATAATCTTTCCCTCTCTTCTGGCACATTCCCCTCCCCCCTGAAGCACGCACACATCACTCCCATACTTAAAAAACCATCCCTAGATCTCACTGACCTGAACAACCTTAGACCCATCTCCCTGCTTCCATTTACATCCAAACTCCTTGAGCGCTTGGTCTATAATTGCCTGAGTTCCCACCTCACTGACCACAACCACCTTGATCCCCTACAGTCTGGCTTTCGCCCCCTACACTCCACCGAAACTGCCCTACTCAAACTCACCAATGACCTGCTAACCGCCAAAGCTAATGGCCACTATTCAGTGCTCCTACTGACCACCCCCTCCTCCTCAAAAACCTACACTCTCTTGGCCTCAGACTCCACCCTCTCCTGGCTCTCCTCCTATCACAGCGCTCCTTCAGCATTACCTATAACGATACCACCTCCTCTTCACTCCCCCTCTCTGTCGGGGTCCCTCAAGACTCTGTCCTCGGGCCCCTTCTCTTCTCCATCTACACCTCCTCCCTTGGCCAATTGATACACTCTCACGGCTTCAACTACCCTCTCTACGCCGACGACATGCAAATCTATCTCTCTACCCCTCACCTCACCCCTTCGGTCTCCACCCGTATCACAAGCCTACAGAGCGACATATCGGATTGGATGTCACTCCACTTACTCAAACTAAATCTCTCCAAAACTGAGCTCCTAGTTTTCCCCCCAGCCCGTGCCCCCCCCCCCCCCCCGACTTCTCCATCAAAACCAACAACTCCACCATCAGTCCCTCCCCTCAAGCCAGAGTACTAGGTGTCATCCTAGACTCCAATCTGTCCTTCCAGCCCCAAGTCCAATCGCTGACAAACTCATGTAGACTTCACCTCCGCAACATCTCCAAAATATGTCTGTTCCTAACCCCGGACACCACTAAGGAGCTGCGGCCAGACTTATCCACCTCACAAACCGCTCCGTATCCGCCACCCCTCTCTGCCAATCCCTCCACTGGCTTTCGATTGCCCAACAGATAAAATTCAAAATGCTAACTGACGTACAAAGCTGTTCATAACTCTGCCCCAAACTACATCACCGATCTGGTATCCAAATACCACCCAAAACGTACTCTCCGCTCCTCACAAGATCTCCTACTCTCTAGTTCCCTGGTCTCCTCCTCCCATGCCCGCCTCCAGGACTTCTCCCATCCTCTGGAACTCCCTACCCCAATCCATCAGACTATCACCTACTCTCCTCGCCTTTAGGCGCACCCTGAAAACCTATCTCTTCAGGGAAGCCTACCCCGCCCTCAGCTAATTACTGATCTCCTCCACTCTTCCTACCACTTCATCCCCCACAGTTGTTTCCTCCTGTACCACTATCCCCTCCCTCCTAGATTGTAAGCTCCAAGGATCAGGGCCCTTGCACCCCTCGTGTATTGAATCGTATTGTTACTGTACTGTCTCGTGTATTGTCTCCCATTATAATGTACAGTGCTGAGCAAACTATTGGCGCTATATAAATCCTGTATAATAATAACTACCTGTAAATGATGATGTGTACATGGACACATAGGAAAACATGAGGGAGAGTTCAGGTGCTGCTGAAAAACGCAGAAAAGCGCCTAAACGTGCGTTTATCAGCTGTAGTGTACATGGAGCCTTAGAAAAAAAAAGGGTTGCTGTGGATACCTGCGAACAAAGTAAACATTTGCTCACCAAGGACAGAGCAGAATAGTCCCTGAGCTGGAAATAAATTTACTACTCAAATAGAAGAAATACCCGAAGAAGGAAGAAAGGAAATTGGTCAGCACTGCGCTTCATTTTGTGGTATTTTCTCCCCTACCTGTGTCCGCCTTCACGCTGTGCACGATCAACAAAGCCACCGTTGCTAGGAACGTTTCTTCCTCGGAACCTTCGCGCAGCGCTCGCAGCGGACGGCTTTCCGGACGTACCTCCAGTACAACATGGCCGCGCCCAGACCGGCCGGCAATGTTTTCAGGTTCCGAGACGTTCGGGCCGTGCCGGATCCCGTCTGTGAGCCTGCGCTGGATGGACCGGCCGTGTTGGTGCTGGATAATGGCTCCTTCCAGCTCCGGGCGGGCTGGGCCGGGGTGGGTCCGCAGATGCAACTGCGCTCGGTGGTGGCCAGGAGCCGGGGAGGGCACCGCAGTCTGAGCCGGGTGGGCAATGACATTCCGAGCCTGGAGCCGCTACGCTGGCTTCTCCGGACGCCTTTTGACAGGAACCTGCCGGTGAACCTCGAGCTACAGGAGCTGCTGTGTGACCACGTGTTCCAGAGGCTGGGGGTGACGTCAGAGGTAGTGTATGAGGACCTGTTTGTCTGCTCTGTGTCCCCCTGTCCATGCTTCCCTAAAGGAAAACCACTTTTTTTTGTTTAAATGTTGGATAAATCCCTGTCAGGGTTATTGTTGCCATCTGTGGCCCATGGGGGAATTTTCTATCACTGCTTGTCCCATAGTCAAAACAGGAAGTGAGAGGAAATCCCTTCAAAGTAATGGAATCCTGAGGCGTCTCCAGAACTAGTGTCCCCATTGGAAGATTTCCCCCCTCTTCCTGTTTTGGTGATAATCCAAAATTTAGTAAGTAATTTAACTTTCAATTAGGGATGTACCGAAATTTTGACCACCAAAACATATCGGCCAAAAATTGTGAATGCCGATAGGAAAAATTTAGCAGATACAGGGGACTGTGTGTACTGGGGAGGGGAGCAGCAAAGAAAGGCAGGAGAGGAGCAGTGCATACAGTGACTGGCTGTCACTATGGGGTTTATTTATTAAAGCTGGAGAGTCCAAAATCAGACTCCCTTCTGCATAGAAACCAATCAGCTTCCAGGTTTCATTGCCAAAGCTTCATCGAACAAGCTGAGGTTAGAAGCTGATTGGTTTCTATGCAGAAGGGAGTCTGATTTTGGACTCTCCAGCTTTAGTAAATAAACCCCTATATGTCAAAATGCCTGGCTTTTTTTTTTTCCTTTACTATAGCTCAGAGAATCTAGGCTTTTTTTTTTTCCTTTAGCTGTCCCTTTCCCCCAGCTAAAAGAAACAAAGTTTCCTTTTAGTTTATTTCCCTGAGTTAAAAGAAACAACCATTGCTTTATTTGTTATATTTTGTTACCTTAGACTTGGATTTTGCAAAAGCGTTTGACACAGTTCCCCACACACAGCTAATGTGTAAAGTAAAGTCTACGGGCTTGGAAAAATCTGTATGTAAATGGATAGAAAACTGGCTAAATGATTGTATTCAGAGAGTAGTGGTTAATGATTCATACTCTGAATGGTCTGGGGTTGTCAGTGGTGTACCCCAAGGTTCAGTGTTGGGACCCTTACTTTTTAATATATTTATAAATGATATAGGGTCTGAGATTAATAATCTCATTTCAGTCTTTGCAGATGACACCAAGCTCTGCAGTGGAATAATGTCCTTACAGGATGTCTTCAATTTACAAGCCGACCTCAATGCACTGTTTAATTGGGCAACTATGTGGCAAATGAGGTTCAGTGTTGATAAATGTAAGGTTATGCACTTGGGGGCTAAGAATATGGATACATCATACATACTGGGGGGGGTACAACTGGGGGAATCGATAATGGAGAAGGATCTGGGAGTTCTGGTAGATCACAAGCTTAACCAATTCAATACCGGGCAATTTTACACCTTCCTGCCCAGGCCACAGCAGTTCAGATGGTACCGGCAACAGGGGCTGGTACTCAGATCTGTCATCGGCCGTGTCCGAGGTACATGGCCGGTGACAGATCGTGCAGCTCTGCAACCGCGCATGTGCGGGAGGACGTCAAAATGCGTACACCCCGGAAAGGTAATGCATTTTTGTGGCCGCCAAACGGCTATAGGCCGGGCGGCAAGTGGGTAATAATGGCATGCAATGCCAAGCTGCGGTTTCTAAAGCGAGCAAAATCCTCTCTTGTATTAAAGAGGTATAGACTCCAGAGAGATATAATTTCCCCCGGTACAAATCATTAGTAATACCTCATCTGGAATATGCAGTTCAGTTTTGGTCACCAATTCACAAAAAGAACATTGGGGAACTGGAGAAAGTACAGAGAAGGGCAACCAAACTGATATGAGGCATGGAGGAGCTCAGCTATGAGGAAATATTAGAGGAAAGAATTAGAGGAACTGAATTTATCCATCTCTACATTGAAGGGGGATATGAGGAGTATAGATACATAAGGGGGATATGATCACCATGTATAATACATAAGGGGGGATATGATCTCCATGTATAATACATAAGGGGGGATATGATCTCCATGTATAATACATAAGGGGGGATATGATCTCCATGTATAATACATAAGGGGGGATATGATCTCCATGTATAATACATAAGGGGGATATGATCACCATGTATAATACATAAGGGGGGATATGATCACCATGTATAATACATAAGGGGGGATATGATCACCATGTATAATACATAAGGGGGGATATGATCACCATGTATAATACATAAGGGGGGATATGATCTCCCATGTATAATACATAAGGGGGGATATGATCTCCATGTATAATACATAAGGGGGGATATCTCCATGTATAATTACATAAGGGGGGATATGATCTCCATGTATAATACATAAGGGGGGATATGATCTCCATGTATAAATACATCAGTGGTTCATATAGTAAACACAGAGGACAAGGGGGCACTCTTTATGTCTGGAGGAAAAGAAATGTAATCTCCAAACACGAAAAGGTTTCTTCACAGTAAGAGCTGTGAAAATGTGGAATAGACTCCCTCAAGAGTTGGTTCTGGCCAGCTCAGTGGATTGCTTTAAAAAGGCCTGGATTCTTTCTTGGATACACAGAATATAACTGGTTACTATTTATAGGTAAAGTTGATCCAGGGAATATCCGATTGCCTTTCGGGGTATCGGGAAAGAATTTTTTCCCTGCAGGAGCAAATTGGATCATACTTTGCTGCGTTTTTTGCCTTCCTCTGGATCAACTGTGGGTGTAGGATTATAACTTTTTTTTATTTATTTCTTTTATGGTTAAACTGGATGACCTTTTGGGGTTTTTTTCAGCCAGACTATGCAACTATGTAATGTTTCCTTTTAGTTTCTTACCTGGGATAAAAGAAACAAAGTTTCCTTTAAGTCCTGGGAAAGTGACAGCTAATTCTGTGAGCTATAGTGAAGAAAAAAAAAAAATGGCGGCAATTGCATTTCAAAATTGGCACAGATATATAGTGACAGCTCCTCTCCTGCCCCCTCCACTGCTCCCCCCCCCCTTCAAAGAGGACTTGTCACTCATGCTATCACATATATATGTGATAGCAATACAATCATAAGTTAAAAAAATATATATATATATACATGACAGTAGAAAAAAAAAAATAATTGGAACCTCCCCACCCCCACATACGCAGACATTTCGGTTTCAGTTTGGTTTTCGGTCACATGCATTCTGAATTTTCAGTATCCGTTTCGGCACAACTACTTTCACTTATTACCAAAGTGCATGAAAAGCACTATCTCTCCAGCACCTCAAAAGGGGTTCATGTCAGGAAGAGGCCAGGAAGTCCATTGTGTTGATAACCTTTTGGATAAATTCTTGGTGATGCAGCCCTCCTCAGACTGGGAAATCCTCAAAACTGGAAAAGAAGCACACAAGTGGTGCAAACTCATTATTCAAGGTTTATTTGAAAAGAAAAAAAAGACAAAAAAAACATACAAAATGAAGTACACGAGAGAGCCTGAGGAAGGAGCTACGTCCCCGAAACGCGTCAGAGGCCACCCGTACCACCAGTCGGATACTCTACCATCATTGTGGGCCATCCTTGTGGCGTTTTAGGCTTTTTCAAGTACTTCATTTTGTAAGTTTTTTTTTTTTGTCTTTTTTTTTTCTTTTCAAATACACCTTGGACAATGCGCTAGGTGTTTGCACCACCTGTGTGCTTCTTTTTCAATGATTACTGTAAACAGGACAAAAAGGATGAATCTCATTAACAGGGGCACAGACAGTGTCTACTCTAGCAGAAAAAAAAGTTTTGCTTTTAGTTTTTTTAATTAAATGTGAAAAAACTCTGCACTTAGGTGTAAAAAACTTTTAGAAAAGCAGCCAGCATGGTTTAGTTTTTTAACTTTACTGCCCCTAAGCCTATAAAGAGCAAGGAAGAGTTACAACCTCTCTGTCCCCATCAGGAAGTTTTCCCTTTACTTCCTGGCCCAGAGACACAACAGGAAGTGTGTGAAAATTTCACCTTTTTTAGGTCCCAGTGACAACCCATAGTAGGCTTCACACCACTTCCTGTTCACACCAGCCGCTGTTGGGCAGCATTGCTCAGTGCATAGTCAAGGCACTTTCTGTTCTGTCCTATTGGTTATGTTCACACCAACATGCTGAAAAAAAACATTTTCTTTTACACAGCACCTTGTGGTGCACTACACTATACTGCAACATTTTGCAGTGCATGTATTTGAATGAAATGTAACGTATGTGGTGGTGGGGGCCTCAATTTTTTTTGTTTTGGGGGGGATGGTATGTGCATAGGTGTAACTTTCATTTTTTATAATAAAAAAACAAACAAAACATTTTTTTTTCACTTTTTATTGTCATCACATAGGGGACAAAGTCCCCTATGTGATGATTTTTGGTGACAGGTTCTCTTTGAGACATCCAAGGTCTAAAAGACCCTGCATGTCTCCCCTCTGCTCCACTGAATGTAATGTGGTGTACATCTGCACCATATTACATTAATTCCTGGGGATTGTATTGCAATCTCTCTTCGGGGACCTGGAAGTGACATTGTAACGTCACTTCCAGGTCAGCACAAGAAGGGGAGCAAATTTGTCCGCTCTTCTCCCTCCCCTCTAGCCAACGGCGAGCTGGGCCCGCAGATGGGCAAGTGGAGCCCGGGAAACCTCATGGGGGGGGGGGGGCGCGGAGAGGCTGTCACTGTGTGGAAGCAATCGCCGGCAGCGCTGCCGCCGATTGCTTCACCTGACAGGTGAGCCTGCTGCTTGCCCGCAGCAGGGCTAAAGGAGGAAAAAAACTACCTGCCCAGCACCCGGAACTACATGTCCCGGGCGATAGGAATTCAACATCCCTGCTACTCCATACTCTTACTGCTGCTTTTGATACTGTTGACCACCCCTCCTCCTCAAAAAGTCCACTCTCTTGGCCTCCGTGACTCTGCTTTCTCCTGGTTCTCCTCCTACCCATCGCAGCGCTCCCTATAACTCGGTCTCCTCTCCACTTCCTCTCTTTCTGTAGGGGTCCCTCAAGGTTCTGTCCTTGGACCCCTTCTCTTCTCCATCTACACCTCCTCCCT